AAGGGAGTGTAGCTGGTTATTTGGGGCCTCCAAGTTCTCAAATCCTGAAAATTCCACTCCAATTGTTGGGATCCCATTCTTTTCCATTATTGCTTCACATTTAACTACAAAGGCCTACTGAATCTATGAATTCAATCATTGGAGTTTGTTAAGTATTTCAGTGTCTTATATCTCTAAGGCATGAAAGATTCTTTTTTCTAGTTTAGTTTGTGCTTTGATATATATATATCCAGTGATTTAAATTTGTTCTTTCTTTTAACTGGCCAGAGCCAACTGAAGAAGCCATCCACTTATCTATACAGAAGTATTCATGTCTTTTGTTCCATGACAGGAAAAGATTGGTCCCCCATAGGCTTGCCTTCAAAAAGCACTACATTTTAAGTGATCCCAGTAAGTACTTTAATGAACTATTTCTTCATTGTTTGCCATGAGTTGCAAGATTCCCTTTACAGGACACGAGTGGGATTTTTCTGCCTTCAGTCTGAATCAGGCCAGATGACCAATCCTAATTTGCCCGTTTCTTTAAGGGTCCATAACCTGCAGTTCCATTCCCTGGTATCAAAATATGTTTCAATTAACATGCTTGATTTCAAGTAAGAGAAATTGACTTTAGGTAGCTTCAGCAAGAAAAGACATTTTTGAAAGGATGATGAGATAATAGAATCCATTCCTGGAAAATGGGACAGAAACTAAGAGTTTAGAAAATAAGGAAGTTAGCTGTAGTCATGCCAGAGTAATAGCCTGGTTAAGATTCTTACCATGGGATCATCCATAGTCATTGATGGCTTCCCTGTGTTACTGAGGCTGTGAATTATTTCTCAAGAGTTCTTGCATTTTGGGGTCACTTTCTCAGGTTCCAAATATCAAAATCTTAGGATGGAACTCTGATAGCTTAAGCTGTTGGTGCTAATGAGTGAGTATGAGTCTGAGCCTTGCCTCTCAGCAGTATTCACACAGAAGGGAATTCTTGCTAAGTTAAAGGAGGAACATTCAGTTGCTGAAAACATTCAGTTTTAGTTAGCTAAAAATCAAGACAAAAACCAAATGAAACAATCAGTGTCTGCACTACTTACCTTGCCTACCTGACTTTGTGAGTGGTAAGAGTCCCTTTGTGGGACCAGTGTTTGAAGAGCAGTCAAGCTGACTGGTCACAGTGACTCCAATATGGAAGTATTCACTATGCAAATTGGAGGTGGTTTAAACTTTGTGATGGGAGTCATTTATAGTCTCAACTCATCTTCCTTTCCTCCTTTTCCCTATTATACCAATTATCACAGGGTTTGTTGATTTATATTTCACACTACCATAGTGATTTATAATTTTTTTTATTATTTGTAATTTTGGCTGATTAGAAAAATCACTAAGTGGTATACCTAGCATCAAACATTAATAAAGTAGTATTGAGACAAGGTAAAGGACAAGAATGGTATTTTAATTATTATTTCCTTCTTTTTCATTGATATAATTTTCTCTGTTCCAAATCTTGTTTTCCTGAGTCCATAAAAATTTAAAAGTTGTACATTTTGCATTTGTTTTGCTGCAGATAATTTTTTCCATTTTGATAAAATTGACTATTCAGTCAAGGATGTAATGTTTTGATTTTTGTTATTGACTTAATGCCATTTTTATAATAAATAGGGGCATGTTCTATATTTCTTTTAGCATTTTGCCAACTAATTATTTAGAAATTATAGATTTCACATAATAATAATAAACTGCCAAATCCCTCTGTTAACTGGAGATTTATAAAAAGCTAATGTTTCCATGGAAACCTTTCATTTATGAACTATAAACACTGTGGATTGCCCTAGAAGATCCCAGCATTCCCACAGGTGAACATAACTTTGTCTTTATTGGTGAGGCCGGCTTTTCCTTCATTATCCAGAAATGAAAAAATAAACAATTTTGAGTAGCTAATATTTCTCAATTAAAAGAAGAATGATATTTGGGAACATTCTGAGTGAGTCTTAGAGAACATGTAGGAACCATGGAGTTAAAATACCACGTTTGTATTTTAGTTTTTTCTGTTCACCCCAACCTATAGAACAGCTAGGGGAGACTTCTCTTACTGTAGTATGCTCATGAAGGGAATATGAGCAGGAATTTTAATCTCTCTTGCTGGGCCTGTGTATCTTCTCCTTCATTCAGCAGACACTGTCTCTCACATGGTACGTGTATGGTTAGAAATGCTTCATTCCTTATTCCAGAGAGAACAGCTTGGCTTTTGACTTACATGTTGTCAAATAGCCAATTAAATAAAATTTTTATTTTGCAAGTGGTGTTAGGGTGTTGTCTAGATAAAATATCTGTCATCATCTCGTACTGGCACATCTGTTGACTGGATTTAACTGAACCCAAAAATTGTAGGGTGGTTAGGACAGCAGATTTGGAATGGGATGAAAAACAAGGCAGGCCACTCATGGAAGCTCTATAGTCTTTATTACTTACAGTGTTAGCTTTAAAAAAATGACAGCTATAGTTCAGACAGGTTCTTTCATATTTAAAAAGGAAGTCTTAAAGTATCAATTAATTTTAATGAGCAGTCTCTCTACTGATATGTACATATATATCCCTAAAGACATTCCAACTGTACTTATCAACATCTGGAAGCAGTATTGGGCAAACCGTATGCTTAGTTTCTAACTTCAAAAAGTTTCTTCCTTCATTTTTTGAAAGGAATCTTTTGTAAATTCTGGAAGAAGCCTGTGAATAGTTACCAGAAAAGCATTTCAGTGTATTATACTGTCTGAGTTATTAGGGAATCAGATGCCTAAAACTCAACTCTGGAGCAATTTGGAGTTTAGAAAACAAGAGAAAAATATCAGCAATAATGCAAGTAGATTAGAAAAGCTAATATACTGTTATACTCACTGAGGGGCTTCCTTCTCTCCCCCCTCCTTCCCTTTCTCTCCCCTCGCTCCTTCATTCCTTCCCTCTTTCCCATCCCTCGCTCTCTCTCTCTTTTTTTTTGAGCTAAAATTTCAGCAGCTATATAGCTAGCACGCACTCCAAAAGATGAAGTTAACTAATGCTTTGACTAATCAGAAGAATGGGAAACTTTTATCGATAAATAAAAACTTTAAAAATACTGCTCTGCATATTGAGAAGCATGGGAGAAATGGATGGGAAAGGAAAAAGAAGACAGGAAGAAAGCAAAAAGAAAATATACATCATTGGAAAGACAACACCAAAAGTGGCAGACACCAGCAGACAAAGAGCTGAGACTTGGATGGTAAGAAACAGATAAGGTAGGAGCATGATGTTAAAGATGTACATCAGAATCCACAAATTCACTACTTCATTCATTCCAGCCACATATATTGAGTTAGTAATATGTGCTGGGCACTAGGAAAATCCAGAAGCTTCAAAGGTAGATAAATACTGTCTCTGTCTCTGTCCTCCAGGTGCACATTGATGGGTAAGAGTGGGAGACTGTGGACACATGTTACAGGTATGATGCCAAATGCATGAAAATGAAACAATGGGAGCACAAAGGAGGAGCTTGTCGCCTCTCTTCCTTTCATTCTTTCTTTCACGAACGAGGGAGAGAAGGCTAGAAAAGGCTCAGTAGAAGAGGTGACACTTGATTGAGCCTTAAAGGATATGTACTTCTTTACAGTTTCTGGCATAGTCCAGAAACAGTGGATATAGTCAGAATGAGAATTAATCACCCAACCAATCAGTGATCCTAATGGTGCCAGAGCCTGTCTAAGACAAGTGTTTATGTTTGGTACTACTCAGATGTGCTTTAAGACTTAACTCAGGGACTCCATCTACTTGGTGAACCATACTTTGATCACCCTGGCTTGACCTGTCCTTATTTGAATTATCATAGTCCCTTGAACTGAGTTTAGACTATGAGCCACTTCGAGATCATATTGCTTTCTACTTGCATGTAGTTTCCCCCACTATTGAATTGTTAATTCCCCAAGGTTCTTGAAACATATCTTTAGTAAAATATGGCATAGGACATTGAATTTATAGTTACAAAATGAGTGAATAAATGTAGTAAGGCCTTTGCCACCACAAAGGATTATTCTTTAATTATCTGAAAAATACAATACTTATGTCTAGCCCCTTCTTTAAATTCTTGGAATTATGAATGTAAGGCTCAGCTTGCATCCTAGCACAGCTTTATCTCACTCCTGAAAAATAAGCACATCTGAAGGTTAGGGAAGAGTAGATACTGACTTTGGATCTTATATGCTTTCAGGAAAATGTCACCTGTGACTAAGAAGTAACAGTTTTTAGGGGGGATGGGAGGATGGTGGTGAAACTCCAGCCCTAGACTGCTACTCAGGGTAAGTCATGGAGGGAGAGTGGGAATCACTTACAGTGGTATGAAATTCATTTGTGAAGGTTACCTCAGCATTGTTCCATCTGGTGAACTATTGGTTAATAAAAAGTCAGCTGTGTCACCTAAATAGATGGCACTGACTCTATAATATGAAGTTGTGAGATGGGATGTTGCCTCATTAAATTCATTCATTAACTTGTCAATGTTGATGAACAGGAGAATATCCAAAGGCCCTAAATTTTATTGAATTCTTATTTTCATCTGGTGATTCAGGGCTCAATAGTTCTCTTTTGGAAGTTCACCTTACCTATCCCATAAATTTTCTGTGTGTGGTAAGGTATGTTTTTTTCAGGTAGCCGGGAATGTAGGTCAGAGTGTTTGTAAGAACTACTCTGCAAATGGAAAGTGTTGCAGTATATAAATCTAAGATATTATTATTGCCATTACCTCTGCCTACTAATTATATAAATACCAGTTCATCCACCAAAACCCAACTTTTTAATTGAGATTACAAGGAATTTATAACCTTATCTGACTAGCCATCTTTTTTTTTTAATTGCCTTTTAGTGTTTACATGGTCAAAAGTACCAGGCACAAATTATAACATACAGATGGATAGGTAACACAAATAAAAAAGTGACCCACTCTGGACTGTTCTCCATTACCTTAGGAAGGATCGAGGGGAAATAACAGGACACGCAAGTATGAAGCAATTTTAATTTATTTAAAATTAATTGAAGGAGGAAGGAAACTCCAAGTTTTATAAAATAATGTGCCTTTGGAGATTGATTTTGGCTAAATGTATTTTTAAGAATTATGTTGTCATATGAAGTAAAGAACAAGTAAATTCTTTGAAAAATTTTGTCTCAAGCAAAAAATGCTTACAAGACTCCAACTTAGACCTTTAAAACACAAGTATAGGCTTCCCAACTAAAAGGAAAAAAGAAGAAATTACTCCTTCCTGAGAATGTGATTATGCCTTACAAAGCAGTGCCCCGAATTATTTTAATTTTTTGGAAAAAAAAACCCTGAAAGATACGAATAACTCTAATATTCAGATAATTAGAAGGCAGAGTAGATTGAAATAAATATACTGGTCCTTAAAGTTGGTTGAAGATTATCATTGGGTTCATTAAAAATTTTCAGAGATTGTAGGAAGAGATACACTAGCATTTTCTAAGATGTCAATATCTTAGAGACACTCCAAATGAAGAACTATTTCTAGTACCAGACATAATAAAGCAGAATTATTCTAATCTTTCCAAGAATAAAATTGGAATTATTATGTTGGTGTTAGAATTTATAATTTGCTAAGAAGCTGTAGCTATGTTTTTCCATGGTGAAATCCTTGATTAGTGAAATATCTGAAATTATGGACTACAGAAATTATTCAAGATGTGTTATGCTAATAAATAGAAATAAAATGATCTTTATCACATACCATGATTAGCATGATGACATTACTTTAATATTACATTTCTATTTTGTTTTTATTTATTTATTTTAAAGATTTTATTTATCTGTTTAGAAAGTGAGCGCATGAGTGCATGTGAGTAGGGGGAGGAGTAGACGGAGAGAGAGAGAGAATCTCCAGCAGATTCAGTTCTAAGTGAGAAGCCCGACTTGGGGCTTGATCTCACCACTCTGAACTGAAATCAAAAGTCGAACTTAACTGACTGAGCCACCCAGGTGCCCCAACATTTCTATTTTTAAAAAGTTAAGCATTATCTGTCATTTTGCTATTTTACAAATAGAATGAAATTCAGTAAATTAGACATTAAAATTTGTGTTTCACCAGCAGAACTCCACTCTGAGCAGAAAATTTAGTTCATTTATAAGCAACATTAATGGAATATAGGCTGTTTCATTATGCTTATTTAATAAAGGAAACAACTAAAATATGTAGCTACTAAAACAGTGACTGTTGGGGAGTTAAGAAATTCCTGTTAGCTGTTTAGACAGCCAGATTTATCAGTGTCTTTTAAGATAGAATATTTTATTTCTTTGGTGCTTATGTATATATGGATATTATTGACCCATATAATTCATTATCTTTGTACAAAGGAAAAAGAAAAAAAATACTAACTAAAAAGACTTGTTGCTAACATACACATTTCTATAGGGTTACATGGCATATGGTTAAATACTTAAGGCATGAACTAGTTTTTAAAGCTTGGAAATGCTAGTTACTCATTCTGAAAGGACATTTCTTAGGATTTTACTCCTTGTCACTCATTTTCATTTAAGGAGGACAACATTTCTTTGAGCCTTATAGTGAAGAAAATAGAATCAACTCTCCTTGAGTTGATAAAGGTCAAGATGTGGTTAGCTGGGCAGGAGCCCACAGTACTCTAATGGAGATCAGTTTGGCTGGCTCTATACTAGCAAGTATAGAGTATTTACCTTGACTCAATGGAAAGTGGATAAAAGCAGTACCATTACTATGACCTAGAGAAGGAAAAGATGTAAACCCATTAGCATGAAGACCAGTCAGAAACATTTTCTATGAACTATGGGAGGACCAGCTTCATCGTATTCCTGCTTACTGATCCACATCTGCTGGAATGTAGACAGGCTGGCCAGAATAGAGCCCCCAATCCAAACGGAATACTTCCTCTCTGGGGGAGCTATGATCTTGATTTTCATGGTGCTAGGTGCCAAAGTCATGATTTCCTTCTGCATCCTGTCAGCAATGCCAGGGTACATAGTGCTGCCTCCAGACAACACGATGTTGGCATATAGATCCTTGCGAATATCCACATCACACTTCATGATAGAGTTGAAAGTCGTCTCATGGATCCCACTGGACTCAATGCCCAAAAAGGAAGGCTGGAAAATGGATTCAGGGCATCGAAAGCGTTCATTCCCAAGGGTGATTACTTGCCCATCTGGAAGTTCGTAGCTCCTTTCAAGTGAAGAGGATGCAGCAGCACTGACCATCTCTTGCTCAAAGTCCAGGGCCACGTAGCACAGCTTCTCTTTGACATCACGAACAATTTCCCGCTCAGCTGTGGTGGTGAAGTTGTAGCCTCGTTCTGTCAGAATCTTCATGAGGTAGTCGGTCAGGTCTCTGCCAGCCAGGTCCAGACGTAGAATGGCATGAGGCAGGGCATAACCTTCATAGATGGGCACAGTGTGAGTAACCCCATCCCCAGAATCCATCACGATACCTGTGGTCCGCCCAGAGGCATAGAGGGACAGCACGGCCTGGATAGCCACATACATGGCCGGTGTATTGAAGGCCTCAAACATGATCTGAGTCATCTTTTCCCGGTTGATCTTGGGGTTGAGGGGTGCCTCGGTGAGAAGGATGGGATGCTCATCTGGTGCCACACGGAGCTCGTTGTAGAAAGTGTGGTGCCAGATCTTCTCCATGTCATCCCAGTTGGTGACCACTCCATGCTCAATGGGATACTTCAGAGTCAGGATGCCTCTCTTGCTCTGAGCTTCATCCCCCACATAGCAGTCTTTCTGGCCCATGCCGACCATGACCCCCTGATGCCGGGGACGCCCTACCATGGATGGGAACACAGCCCGGGGGGCATCATCACCACCAAAGCCTGCCTTGCACATTCCTGACCCATTATCTACCACCAAGGCAGACAGCTCATCATCGGTCATGGCGCTGGCTGGAATCTTCCAGGCAGGTGAACAAAAGTTAAATATAGAGTAAATAGCAGACTACAGTGTCAAGTGAGAGAAGGAACAGACTGAGACACTCTGGAACTGCTTTCAGAGAGGAAATCCTGTGCTGTGATGACAAGTATTTAAAGGTACACACTGGCCCCACCCATGTCCTGTCCCACCAGTTCCCAGCATTTCTGGGTGGGGTTGCCTTTGAGGTATTAATAATGATGATGATGATTATACAAATCATTAGTAGACCTTCCTTCATAAAGAGAAAATTGGCTACCAAAAGTGGCCAAATCTGAGGTTACTGTAATTAGGCAACCCACACATGGTTGTCAGCACGCTTTGGCTCAGTCTCTAGATAACGATGATGATGCAGTGGGGGATGTAAGAGCAAGATGAAAGAAAGCTAGTGAGAGGTAGGGGTAACACTGGTGGGAGGACCGCTCCCTCCTCACTTTACCCTCTGGATTCATCTTCTCCACACTAGCTTTAACTTTTCATTCTTAATATATTGTTCTCACGAGGAGCCCAAAGCCGAATATTTTACTTTTTCAAGATTTTCTTTCCCATTGAGATCCTAATTCCACAGGATGTTATCATGATTGAAATTGTTTTAATGGATGAAGATAATGAATGGCCAAGGGTGGCCCGACAGCTGTACTTACCATACATTTGTGTTATGCAAAACTTAGGGCTATTTAATAGACTTCTAATCCATTAGAGAACAACTAAAAGCATAAAGTGATCAATAAAGTAAACCACTTCAGACTTTCTTTCTTGATATAAATGTCTAACAACCAAATTATATTAAGCACTTACTATGCCCAGGCACTGTTCAGGGTTATTGGGTCCATGTTGACTGCATAGAGGCTCAATGATTAATTGTGTTGCATGATTTGTTAGATAAAATGCAGATTATAAAATTTTTTTTAGATTATAAAAATTTTATTCATTTGTAATAACTCTTTAGGTGTACAAAAATAAACATAATTAAGTGATAAGATAAATTTTAAAATTATGTATTTGAGCTGATCTTTAAAACATTTTGATCTTCAAGATTCATGTACTGTATTATAACATCATGCCTCTATAGTTATAAAAACGTATGTACTTGGAATAGTGTTAGCTTTCCTTTTCATTTGGTTTTAGGATATAGAGCATTACACCCTGATCATTTCAGTTTGGATTTTATTTTCAGTATAGAAATGTAGATGATCTAATAAAACGTACCATGATATACTGTAGGACCTTAGTAATGTGTTACAGAGAAACCGTGATTATGAAAGTTCATTACTTTGCTCCCATTGTGCTATGTAAACAGGATATAATCTCCCTGTCAGCTCTTCTTAAGTGAAGCCGTATTTCATGCCCACACTTGAGTTCTCCAAAATCACCTTCATTCTGAGCAATTAATTAATTACTTGTCACTTTGTAAGAAGGAGCAGCAGTCCTTTAGGATTTGTCAGAGGTGTATCTTCTAGTTCAAGGCCATGAGAACTAGCTGGTGTCTCTGATCATGAGACTCTTGGAGAATCAACACTGGACTGTGAGTGTCCCTTCCTCTTCTTTGTACACAGCATGAAGTAGAATTATGGTATTACTTTTCTCTGTGTTTTCCTGGTGCTTTTCCTACAATGTGCCTTCAGAACCTTCCTGCTGACAATTGGTTATGGTAGAATGTGTTATACTACAAAATCAAGTTTTGCTTTTCTTCTGACCAGAATTGTTCTATCCCTTAATTTCTTTTGTAACTGCAATATCAATTCCTCCTTCAACAAAATTAAAGAACTCACCCTCCAACCTTCACACTGGATGGTTTTGTGTACTTCCTTTTCATGTAGCACAAGCAAGCTTTTGATTAAAATAATGTTTTATGGCTATAGGATGATACATCTGGAAATGCCTTTTTTTTTTAAAGTTGTAGCGAACTGCATGCATATTCTTCAGAACTGAAAAGAAAACACATTGCATTTAGAACCAGTCACCATTTATGACTCTCCAATCTGGAATACAAAATAAAGTCATGTCAGTAGAGAAGTCCATATGGCACCAATGCAGCCCTTAGATTCTGAATTTACTGTAGTTCTCTCCTTAGAATTGTCTTTGAGTTGAGAATTGTTTGGTAATGAGACCACACAGCATAACTGATGCCTTGAGAGTGAGACTGATGTGTGACTTTTCTCGAAGACCTTCTAACGTCTGTTTTAATTTTGGTGTACCAGGAGAATTTTTCATCAATTATGTATTCTTAAACTAAGCTTAAGTTCTTTTACTTAACCCCTTGTAATACCAGAGGACCTATTATAATTCAACAGTCATATAAAAATGTCATCTGTTCGACTGCTTAAAATTTTGAAAAGTAGTAAGAAATCAAATGAATGAGATGTAGGAGATGGATTTACAACTATTGGGCTCTGGGGTGGGGTGGGGGGCTCTTCCCAAAGGTAATCGGTTTTATAACTGACTGGAGTTTACGGATGCTAAGCTAGTTATGTACACTTAAAATCTATGGGGGCCTTTTTAAAAATTTTTTAAAAATTTTTATTTATTTATGATAGTCACAGAGAGAGAGAGAGGCAGAGACACAGGCAGAGGGAGAAGCAGGCTCCATGCACTGGGAGCTACGGGGGCCTTTATGACGAACTTTTGGAAGCCTAAAATATCCTTTTCTTTCACTTTTGCCTAGTTTGACTATTATACAGATATACAAGCCCCAAGTAAGTCATGACCATGAGTGTTATATGTAAGGATAACAAGGAGGTGATTTGAAGCTGTGCCCTACTCCTCATCACAAGCATCTCATGATCTTTTCTTTTCCAAGTAATCTTAAATTTATTCAATCCATAAATCTTTACTAAACCTGCGGGGCACTGGTGATATATTGGTGAATAAAAGCTTGCCCTTATTTTCATAGAGTTTAGTGCCTTGTGGGTAAAAGCCACATCTGAGTAGACTAACCTTGATTGCTGTGCATGGAGCATCCAGCTTGCATTCTGATGGACACTGCCTATGCTGCACCAGTTGTTAAAAGTTTCGAGTATCATTCCCAAATTCACAGGTAACAGAGCACAATGTGGTTGATGTATACAGAGAAGGAGCACAGACTATATGAAGGCAGAGGGAGAGCCCTTGAACCTGGGGCCAGAGAAGAGGACCCTCAGATTGAGTCTCAGAGGATGGGCATGAAGTTGCCAGCGGCCAATGGAGGGCGGGGGACATGGCAGCATAAGCACTATCAACTTGGACAAAATCAGAAAATCCAGAATGTACTTGGAACTAGGTATTTCTACAAGGGTCAGCAAGTTTTTGGAACAGGAATCTGAATCTTAACAGGCATGGAGGACGGAGGAGAACTCTAGAATTGGAAGAAACTTTCCCTCTGGGCACAGAAGATATGACTAGGGGCTCCTCACAGTTGTGCCCATACAGGCCATGTCTTAATGATTATCTCCCTGTCCCCTGACTCTCGTCTCTTAACCATACTGCTGAGATTGAGAGTGTTAATGAAGTCTCTTTCTGCTACCACTCTGGGGATCCATTTTAGAACATTGAGGTCAGCTACCTTCTTCCTTGGTTTTTATTTGATTCTCTCCTTGCGCCCCACACTCCTTTGTAGCATTGTAACTTTTGTCTGCCTCTCTAGATTGATCTGAGAATCTCCTTCATTTGTGTTCTTAGTGGAGATTTGATACTTGCTTAATAAACAAGTACATGGATGGGTAGGTTGTAAGATTTTTTAATTACACACACTGATCTATTTGTTGGTAGGCATAGGTGACCACGTTTTACAAGTTAAAAAATTCATTTATTTTATGGTTAAATGCTATTTTATTTATACTTAATATTGATGAAATGACTTAATCATATCTTAGGAACTATAAATGTTCATTCAGAGAAGTCTCCAACATATGGTTTCATTAATCTCTTAAAATAAATCCACTCATAATAGTTACTGTAATAGTTTGTAGTGATTTCCTGTTTGTTTTAATACATTGAACTTTGTACTGAACTTTGTAAAAATATGAAAAATTTAAAAATACAACAATCTCTTCCCCAAATAAAACCTGACTTACTTATTTTTTTAAGGCAGGTGTGGGCATGAAGAAGAAAGAAATAGCTTTGCTGAGAGACATATTGGCAAGTTCCAGGATGCACTTGGAAGGATAATCTGAATGCAGGAATTGTTCTTGTGGTATAGCTGACCACAGTTCCTCAGCCCTCAACCCATGCTAGCCTACTTTTTGTGAATAAGACCAAATTCTACTCCCCAAAGTGAGAGGGGGATGTTTAAAGGACATTGGATTTCATTGACTTGGATTTTATGGCAGTACCTCCTAGTTCGTAGTTCGACTTTGTCTAGTTTGATTGACTTATAAAAAATTTGTTAAGAAGAGGAACAGGTTCCTGTGTGTAGTGGATGAATCTTTGGAGATGTCTTGACTGCAAGGAAAGGGGAGAAGAAGCTGGGGAGGAAGGTCACACAGTTAGAAGCATCAGTATTCACAATAGCTTAGTCATTGCTGATGTGAAGCACATATCACCTAAGACTGAGACAAACTCTAGGTTGTTTTCTGACCCTGAAAGGTGGAGAGAGTAGCAACAAAAACTGTGATTACTGGGGCACCTGGGTTGCTTAGTCACTTGAGCATCCAGATCTTGGTTTCAGCTCAGGTCATGATCTCAGTGTTGTGAGATCTTCCATGTTGGGCTCCAAGCATGGAGCTTGCTTGGAATTCTCTCTCTCTCTCTGCACTTCCCCCTCCTAAAAACAACAAAACTGTGATTACTGGTGACTTAATGTTTGCCAGTCTCAATGCTGAATGTTCCATTTGCACACACCAGTTCTTTAGTCAGCCTTGCAAGGAACCTAGGATTATGATCCCCATCTTAGAAGGATTAAACTGAAGCTTAATGAGTAAACCAGTCAAAGATACACAATGATAGTGGCAGTATCAGGATTTGAACCCAAACAGATAGGTTATAGAGCATGGGCTGCACCTGACAATAGGCTACAAGAAAGAGTGCAGGGCATGTGGGTGCCCCCAGTGAGAGAGGAAGCCAGTTGGGATTGTGTCTGTGAAGTTTTTGTATTCTGTATTGA